CATTTTGTATGATCCCTCTTATTTTGGTAAAATAATTAACATTTTGCAGATTCTGCAAAGTATAAACTTTGGACTTCAACTGTGTGTGTGTGTGTGTATATATACAGTATATATATGTATGTATGTTGTAGTTTCTGTTCACCACTATTGAAGTTTATCCAACGATTATTACTTCTGCTACTGAGAACCACAGAAGTGTATTGGTCCAATCCATGTTTACTTTTAAATATATATAAAAAGAAAGAAAACCGAAATGGTTTTATTTCAGTAATTTGTCTACATCTCATTTGCTATAATTAAATTGTATTCTAAATAAGCATTTATGTGTTGTATTTTATATATCGGAATTAGGCCTGCAATCCTGCTCTGTATATCAGTATTGGCATCAGCCATTGAAAAACCCCTATCAGTTGAGCTCGTATTAAAGGCACTTTTCCCTGTGTCCTCTCCTGTCTCACAGCTGGAGTGTGTAATGCGTCTGGTGCAGGTGGGATGTGGTGTGAACTCTGTGACCTCTCGGTTTGCCCAGACACCTGCTCATATTGCTGCCTTCGGGGGTCATCCTCAGTGCTTGCTCTGGCTGCTGCAGGCAGGAGCTGATATAAACAGACAGGTAAGACATCACTGCGTTATGAGATTATGTATGAGACACCTTTTTGAAGGCGAGCATGCGGAACTTCTTTATTTACATGTAAAAGTGAACAAACATGAAGTTATGTGAGAAAACAGAGCAAGAAGTGTTCCAAACAAGTGAAGATGAGGAAGAACTTGAAATAACACAAAGCGTTGATTAGCAATGTCACAGCTGGCCACATGACTGTTTTATAGCAGCTTTAAATGTGACTCTTCTGATCAGAAATTTGACTTTGTACTATCCATTTTATATAAGTTATACTGTTGTTGTTTTTTTCCCTCGAGTGTTACATAACATTAAGCTGTTAAGAATTTTTGCACTGAATAATCAATAATAATAAATATAATGTAAAATATTTAATGTAAAATTAAATGTTTTATTTTTTACAGAAAACAACCTGATTAAGTTACCATGCCGTATACAGTTAAAAAACTTTAAATAGTCTAACATTGCTTTATATGTAATTTTATTGTAAAATTATTTTTATTGTAAAAATAATATTATAAAATAATTATTGTAAAATATCAAATATTTAACGTACAAATTTAAAAAAAAAATTTTTTATAAAAAGTAAATAAATCAACAAAAATGTTGCAGTAAGAGCCTGATTAACATTAACCGCTTTTCCACCGAAATTACCTTGAACAATTTGTCCCAGGAACTTTTTTTCCCCCAGACCTGTTGCTGTCTGCGTTTCCATCGCGGTCTAAAGTACCGAGAAGATTAGGCAAATAGTCTGGTGACGTAGGTTTGCGCACGTTTCACAATACCAAGTATGCAAATTTCGGACTTGCGTCCTCGGTAGTTCGGACTTCGTAAGTTTGACTCAGGAGTGTGAACTCCCGCGGACGGGACGACGCAAGTCCAGTAATTCTGCAAACAGCAGCGTACTTGATAACATCAGTCAGCTCACCTCGGCTACTGCAATTTTCCTCACTGTATTGAGACGAAATATCAAACATCACTGCCACTTTTCGTTTTCATTTAAACATATTAATAGCCGCAGAAATTAGTTCAGGGAACATACATAGCTACACATGAAATTACAATGAAACGAAATATTATATCAAACAGTATTGCCTCTTTTCATTTTAACACAGTAATAGAATAAAGACCAAAGATTACCTATTAGATTTACCCAAAACGAATTATAGCTTATATTTAACCACTACAGAGACATCAGAGCCAGTGGCAAATGTCAGAAGGGCTAGCCGAGTTGAAGCTGCTCTCATCGGGAAACATGAGCACTGAGCGCCCGCTGATCGCCTGGAGCTCCGAAATCACTGAAGCACATTTTCAAATAGGCGCTGTCTTTATAATTAAACCGCAGATTTGAGTTTTAAGCAACTACATTCTCGCCTGAAATACTACATTTCATGACACAATAACAGTAATATTTAAAAATATATATATATAATAAATGGTGGTTGAAATACAATGCTGCATGAACTCAACGAATCACCATGTTCAGCACCCAAATCCCGCCCCCGAAGGTTCCGGACCTTTGGAAAAAGTTTTTTTCTCTCTCTTATTCCATGGATTTTACCCCTTTCCCTCCACATTTTTATTTTTTTTTATTTTGCATTTCAACAACATCTTAACAGAACAAAATAGGCTAACTTAAACTGAACTGTAAGTCCTCACAGACTGAGACATTCATATTATTCATACTATAACAGAGAAACAAACCGCCATACAAGACATTAATCCAAATAACATAAAATAAAATACATTCATGCAACCATAAACAGTGTAGGGGATTAAACAAAATCACACTTATTAAACAAATCAAATAATTTCTTGACCTTATCACTTCTCATAATTTTTAGGACCTCTGAATACATGGCAAGCTCATTTTTAAAGACATTAAACTGGGGTGCAGTTTACATTTGTGAATAAAGTATTTTAATATGAGAAGTAAACAATTTACAACAAAGTCTACACTTTTGCCCTCCAAATGTTCTCCAAATTTCACCATGTCCCAAGTAATAGATGGAAAAATACATACTCTTTGTTTAATCCAATAACATACTTCAGTCCAAAATTAATTAACCAAATTACAATGAAGAAATAAGTTCTGATAAATGTAGTTTCTACATCATTATTACAGAATTGACAAATATTACAATCCACATTAAATCTTAATCTCATAAATTCCTTCGCAGGATAAATATCGTACACAATTTTTAAATGCACTTCTTTATATTTTGGTGGAAGAGGAAATAGCAAATACTTGCATCTAAATTCATTAACTGATTTCCTATTTTTTACTTTTTTATAATTTAAAGAAGAAACCAATCCGATGTATAGTTGACATTTGAGGCTTAATGCTATAGAAAAGCACAACGTTTTTCAGTTAGAGTGTTTTCAGCTTATTTTCATTTAAAAATACAGCATGCAGTTGCATTAAACTATGGTATAAACATCATTCAATGTTAATTGTGATAATCGTTATTAATAATCGCAATTACAATTTCAAGGGAATAATCGACAATTTTGATGTTTGTCATAATCGTGCAGCCCTAGTGTCCATTGAGTAGCAATGTCCCCCCCCCACCCCCTCCATACAGTTATACAATCATTTTACAATCATGAAATTTACAACTTATTTCTGAGGGGCAAATTTTTACCCAGAACTTTATTTAGATCCTGGTTCCTGCGGTGGAAACACATCGAGAACTAGCCCAAAGTCTCTAGTTCCTGGGGAAAGTTCCTGCGGTGGAAACGGGGCTATTGTTGCCGTGCCAAATATGGTTAAAAACGGTCAATGATCCAAAATTGCATTATGTGTAGTTTTTTTGTTAAAAGCTGTCAAATTTATGGTTTTTGCTAGTAAAAATTTTTGTTTTATTATGACATTCCTAACACATAATTGTATTGTGTATATACATAATTTTCTTCTAATTTTTGTTATGGGTTTTTAGTGTTACATTTTCTGCTATTATTTTCTGCATTATTTTAGTGTTGTGTGATGTTTTGTCTGTATGTGTACGAGTATTGGCCGTGTGTTATGGGCAAGCTATTTACAATGATTTCTGATTCATTTTATGGTTAAAAAGCAGATTTTGGTTATTTAGTAATAAATTGGTATATCAACATTATGTGACTTCATGAAACATTATGAGCTAAATATAAACGTAGGTCATGGTATTGTTTAAGGTGAATTACATCTTAAACAATACTACAATTTCCATTTTTGGTAAAAATTTAATAGGATATTTGAGAGTGCATTAGGTTCTTTAGTCAAGATTATGGTCATGCCAACCCCCACAGTTTTCACATATAAAAAATATTTATGAAATTTAGCTTAAACATTTGCTAATTTTTGATGATAGGCCATACTCAGTCAGCCTTGGTTTACTGAGGCCCTGGGCCCTTCATGACTAGCTGTTTCACTGTGTTCATGTACTGTATCATCACTGTGTTTTCATGTGTGCAGAATATAGAAATCCCCATCATCAGCGTGTGAGCATATTTCTGATTATTCATGTGTTCTCCGCCTCCACCATTCACTGGTGTTACAGCAGAGAAATGAGATTACTAGGCCATTGCTACATAACCAGTGATGTGTTCTCCAAATATAGACTAGTTTCTCATCCCCGCTGGCTCAGGCAGATCAACATTAATGATTTAAGGGCATCGCCCGTCCCATCGACTGATCTCTTACCCAGTCTTGTCTTGTACTGCTCGGAGGAATGTAGCTGGAGTGAAAAGCTGCCGGGCGTCAGTCTGACCCACATTCTTCTCCCATGAATCAGTGATTCTGTTGAAAGGGCTGCCTGATGCTCAGCGGCTCCTTTAAGAGTTTACTGTAGCTTTCTGTCAGGGTGAAAGGTTCAGCCGGCTGCTCCACCAGCTCCTAAATAAATAATGATTCTGGGTTGTGACGGAGAGATTGCACTTTCACTTCCAGCAATATGGTGATTGCTGCCATATTCATCAGTCTGCAGACACAGTGTTGTTATTGTTAACTAAAACTGTTAGAAATAATTGTTGGTCAATCGAACCCGGGTGCGCACCAAAAGTGTTAGTGTGAAAGCACCTTAAAATTACTAAAACTGAAATAAATTAAAGCTAAATAGAAAAATGTCACAATCATGACAGTCCTGTGGCCTGTAGCACGAAGCGAGATGAACAAACTCAGAGTTGCAGAGTAAGTTTTGAGTTGACAAAACCCGATAGCCAACCTGGTTTAGATCAGGTTCACCGGGCTCACAAAGCTCGATATAAACGTTCTCTGTCAACTCAGAGTTAACCAGAGTTTGTGATTAACTCTGTAGTGCGTGCACCTGAAAGTGTGACACGTGCAGCAAACAGCCAATCACACGAAACGTGGAGATGATCACCAAAGCGTCAGTTGGATTCACTTCTCGCGAGAGTCAGCGCAATTCACTTTTCTACTGAAGATTAAGAGATGCCGTTATTAAAAATGTAAATGTAAGGAATAAGCACTTACACTGCAGCAAAAGTTTGGCAGCAGAAAGAAAATATGGCTATGCAAAGGAATCAACTGAATTTAATTATTTATATATAGTTTCACAAAGAACTCAAAAGGAAAACGCTTGAGTTTAAAGTCATTTTAAAAGTTGGATATATTAAAGCTTTATCTATCTATCTGTCTGTCTATCTATCTATCTATATATATATATATATTTATATATATAGATATATATCAGCTGATTGATCCAGTTTGGGTTTGCGATCTCTAACCCAGATTCCCAGAATAAAACCTGCTCCAGAGCATGGTAGCCGTGTTGCGTAAGTTACCATGGTGACGAAACCTGCTCAACACCAACCCATCTTCTTGAGCCCGAAAACTCAGAGTTTGCTCAAACTGAACGTGAACTTACCTGGGTAAAAACTGAAACTGGCTTCGTGCTACAGGCCACTGCTCCCAGCTGGTGCTTTACATTCTCTGTCTGTTTTGTAGGACTATGTTGGAGAAACCCCCCTCCACAAAGCGGCCCGTGCTGGCAGCATCGACTGCATTAACACGCTCCTGGTCCAGGGAGCCAAGGCAGAGTAAGTCTTCTCAAACTGCTGCTCTCTCTAACTGTATCTCTCTCTTCCCTTGCATCAGCCCCACTGATGCTTCATTTAAGAAGGGCTCCATCAAAACCGAAACATTGATTCTCTTGATTATAAGGCTTTTATTTCATTTCTTCCACTGCAAGATAATATGGTCAACAAAAGACACTAGTGAATTATAGTGAGACCGTTTTGAACCGTCTGAGATTTCCCTGCCCTCCTCTATAAAAACAAATGAACCCTATTGTCCTGAGTGGTAGAAATCTGACTGGTTTTCAATCTCACATTTTTACTTGATTTTAAAACCTGCATGCATGAGTTACAAATAAAAGAATATCAAATGTTTATTTTCTAATTTTAATGTTTGTTTTTAACTGATAAATTAAAAACGAGTTTGTGATTTATGTAGGAATATTTTGAGGATAAAACATTTTAATAGAATGCCCATTTTTAAATGATACTAGATGACATTTTTATTCAGAAAATATATTAATGGACATTTTAAAAAAAGGTTTCTCCTGAAATAATTCTAGAATTTGTATCATAGTAATTTGAAAGGCTCTATATTGCTTTTATTGTTGTTATTGTTATTATTGTTAGTTTATATGATCTATTTTTTGAATGTTGACTTTAGACAAAATGTTTGAAAGTTATTGTAAACATTATATTGAAAGGATATTGATTGAATTGATTGAGTAATGCAGTTTAACTGTTTTTGCCATGAATCTAGCCATTGCTGCATTAATGAATTAAAGATTTAAGCCATGAAACAAATCTGCTACAATTTGTACCTACAGACAAATGTTGAATAAATGGATGTTTAAGTACAAAACGTTGTACACTTCTGGATCAAAATAGGCATGTTGTTATTATATTGCCATTACTGCAAGTTCCCTTATAATGTTTTTATATGAAGATTTTTTTTTTTAAAGATATTTTTAATTTACGTAAATTGGTTCATCCTGACAGGGTAACAAAATATTATAAACATTAATGAATGATGTATCATGAACTAACAATGAACAGCATTTTTGCAGCAATTATTAATTTTAATTATTAAGTTCATGTTAATAATTATGTTATTGTTCAATGTTAATTTGTTTGCTGATAGTACATTTTGAATAATTATACAGTTTGAAATGTTAATTTAGTACATATTTTGGTATATGTAAACCTGAACATTAAGAAAATTTATTACGGAGTGTCTATTTACACTAACTCCGCCCACCAATGTGTGATTGGGTTAGTCAACACTAGAAAAGACGATTGTGAAACATCAGTTCCAGTGGCGTAGATGGTAAAGTGCGGGCTTTTTACGCGATCGACCCGAGTTCGAATCTGCCTTTTGCTGAACTTTTTTTCCCTCCCTTCTAAAATCTTTCAAATCACATCAGAAAAGCATTTATTTTTTAATAAAAATTAATGAAATAATAAAAAATTTGAAAATAATTTATCGGGTAGGTGTAGGGAGGGATTTATTGTCCCAGTAATGTGGCATCCATTTAATAATTTGAATTAAAATGATAATTTACACTCAATACATTATTATTGCTTACTGTTTTATAATGTACTACAATACTGTAAATAGCATATATCGCTATTTACACTTAGCGCAAATAGCTGCTGCCAATTAATAAATGCCGTTCTTGTATTGTTCATTGTTAGATCATGATAACTAATTGAACCCTAGATTCAATGTGGAACTTGTGTTCTTTTTGTCATCCAAGTTAAAAATGTGATTTTGAAAAGTGACCTAATACACTCTATCCATTTTGAAATGTATTTTGATGGAGCTCTTCTGAAATCTGGGACCAGATCTGGTCTTACTGGCTTAATTTTGCCTAAATGTGAAATGTATTCTGAATTCAGTAATTTGATAATCTCTATCATGTCTTCTATAATCCCCTGTGAAGTGCGGAGGTAATATCCTTTTTGTTCCCTTCACTTTTTGATTTTAAATGTGTTGCCTTTTCAAGGTTGCGAGCTGTTGCACATTTCCTCATAGCTCAAAAGCAAACAACAACTAATGCTATTTTAAATTGTCCTTGGTTGCTGAGGTTTTTTTCCTTGTTGGGAGATAAGATGAAATGAAGTGTGAGAGACCCCATGGTATTCTGGGGGAAATTGAGCTCCATTCAAAATGTCTCTGCAGTGTCATTTTATGGCTAGTAATCAAATTTTTCTAAAATTTCTAAGTTATTTCTAGCATTCTAAAGCTTGTATTCTAGCAAAACATTATCTGAAGTTGAACAAAAAATAATGCAAGAACACACACGAACAGCTCTATTTGATTTTTAAATTTTGCAAATAGAAAAACTAGGCAAGTAGTAGCCACATAGTGTTCATCAAATGCTGGGGTGTCCAGTCCTGCTCCTAAAGGGCCACTTTCCAGCAGAGTTTAATTTATGCCTGCCAGAACACACCTTTTTGGTAATCTTGAAAAACTTGAGCTGCTTCATTTGTGTTTGATTAGGTTTGGAGCTAAACTTTGTAAAAAACTGGCCCTTAAAGGGATAGTTCACCTTCATTTGCTGGTCCCCTATGCAAGTCAATTAGGACCAACTTAAGGTGAACTATCCCTTTAAGGAGAAGTATTGAAAACCCCTGACTGTCATATGCCATATACATGTGTAGATCCACTTGAGAAACTGTTCTCCAACACCTTGTGCATCATTTCGATCATTTCGATTTAGGCTGGTATTGCTATTGGTTGACCTGCTAACACAGATTTTGTTATAAAACATGCTATTGGCTTTGCAGAGGGATTCTGATGGAAGCTCATGCTTTATTAATGCTGATTATTTTGCCAACAGTTGTTCTGCAGGGTGTTGCAACAAGGCATAACTATACAAGTGTAAGCTCCTGTGTGTTGTGAGTTGTCAGCACACACATACAGTGGTGCAGGAGTGTTCTTGTTGCTCATTCTGGAGAAATGACTTTCACCATTTCATATCTCTTGACAATGAGAAATGCCACTTGGGGATTTATTGAGGCGTACTTTAATGATGATGGAGGACATACTAAATATAACTGGAAATGATCTGATGTTCCACAGAAACACCAACCACTTCCATTAGTGACTAAAACACTATTGAATATATTTTGGATCAATTTGTATAATTTCAAATGTAATTTTAAACTTCGATTACTAGATCATGAAATATGTGGTTAGTAATTCATGTATTTTTTTAATGCTTTTTAAATGCATCTTCTATGCTCACCCATCAGTTGACCTGAGGTCAAACAAAGTCCTGCTTTGGAAAGCAGAGGTCTGATGTGTTTTGTGGAACAGCAGGTACAGTGATGGGCTTGCTAGTGTTTCTTGCAGGCTTTTGGTCTGAAGAACACAAGCCTGATGAACGCACTGCAACTGCAAATGCTCCTGTTTTGAATGCCATATGGTTGTGGTCAGCACAACAAACATGAATATCATTTGTAATGTTATGTTAATGCCTTCAATTAAAACTGGTGACACTTTACAATAAACTTTAAGTTGTTAACATTAGTTGCATTTTGTATCTTGAACCCAAAAAAGATTGTTATATTAATAATTTATTAATCTATGTTAATGATAATTTCTTATACATTTAGTAATGTTTGTTCATGTCTGGCATTAATACATAAACACCAATGCATGCAACTTAAAATGTTAAAAATTGTGTTTGTATATTAATTATCATTCACATTGATTAATAAATGCGGTTCTTTCATTGTTCATTGTTAGTTCAGGATACCTAGTTCGTTAACAAATTGAATCTTATTGTAAAATTTTGCAATAAAACTATTAAGATAATTGCTACATTGTATAAAAAAAGAACAATTACAGTTATATGCAAAATTTACACTATACAAAAGACTAGAAGGCTGCAGTCTGTGATTGTCATGGGGTTGTTATTTAACAGTACACAAAAATACGCAGTAACTGTTTGGCTGAATTGTGCACTTCACAAAATTTCATTTCACTCCCAGTAAGTAAAAAATACTGGAAAAAAATGAGAAAAAAAACAAAACAATGTAAACCCACTTCTGCATTTAAGAAATTCCTCAGTTCGAGGGTAGCACAGATTTTGTCAGCTGATATTATTTTTAGTATATATATTTTTTTTTTCAATTGACATGGCGATTAAAATATTTACTTGTGTATATGATACGTAAGAGAGTTTTTTTTTTTTTTTTTTTTT